ATGGTCTAGAAACCATACCTGGGGGCATTGCAGTGTGGTCGGGCACAGAATCATTGAGATCTATTATATGGAGACGGTATCGGCAAGGATCGGAGGTGCCATATACGCCCAAACAGACGGAGGGGTAGTCTTGTTCAGGATTGAAGATCAAATCAAAGTAGTAGACAGGAGAGGGCATCGATGGCACCTCAACCTAAAAGAGGGATAATTGGTGGACTGAGAACACCCAATGAACAAACTACAACTGTAGAAAGGCGAGGCAAATTTTAAAAAAAAACAACACTTGGTTGTGCAAAAAAACGGTCAGAAAACATCGTACCATAGTACAACTGTGAGAAAAACAGAGGTTAAAGCCGCAACCAGTTGCGTGACAAATAGCACGATAGTCGGTAAAGGTTCATTTCGGATCAATAATAAAGGCTGGTAGTCAGTAGATAAATTGTGCATCCGTAAAAAGACGACAGGTAGAAAGTAAGGAATCCGTGGAATGGTAGTCTTACGTGCCTCCAAACCCCAAAGGACGCGACGCTAACGCATTTACCAGTAATTGGTAAGACGGCGAGCATGACCGATGCAGCTGCCTATGTGTTAGGATCTGCAGAAGCTGACTTAGTGAGCTCAAACAATCTATACATTTTTAGAGGTGAAGACTGGACATCGAAGGTTGGAAGAAGCACTCTCAAAGCCTGACAGACTACTTGGAGTCAGGTGTTAAACTGGTTATTCCATCGCCTCTAAGGCAGGAAAGCTGACTGGTCTGAGATGTCTTCGCAATGTTGCCCCGGCGGGTAGGGACCGTCTCGTTTGTCAAAAAAGTCGATGCCCTCAATTCAAAGGATCGTTTAGAGTAATGGTGGTTGAAAAGGTCGTTTTCACTTCTAGGCACCGAGATACAAGAGAAAGCGCACCCTATATATGGAGGTTAACTAAGTCAACTGAACGGAGGAAGGAGATCAAAATCTAGGTGGAAGCAACCAAAACTGGGGCAGATTGATTCAGGGCACGCGTTAATCGGACCGTTCGGAGACCGCACGAGCGCATAACTAGTGTCGCATATAAATGGGGGTCTTTGTGGTATGTCTAGGCGCAGGATTCACGCTGCGTCAGTCCGTGTACCAAAGCCGAGCTGACATGTTTGGGCAGTCGACTGGTCCACGAGGGATGGTGGAAAGTAAGGTCGATACTGGCGAAGTCATCCTCCCCCGACGGCACATGAGCGCATTCCTCACTAAATTAAACCTGACGCCCCTAAATATATATCACCATAAGCTAAAAGTTGTGACGTTCAAGTTTTCCACCTGGCAGAATAACTCGGTCGTCAGGAAAATATGGAGATCTCAAGTAGACGCGATCGCTGGACAAGAACTTTATTCACGCTGAATTTCCGGATTCTAGCTCGAACCCATTTTTAGAAACAATATCTGATGATACCTATGAAGATGTGTTGGAGCTTGCATCCGAAACGTCGGGCAAATAAAGTGAGCCCTAGCGATCGCGTCAACTTCTTCTTAGCCCAGATCGTCTCGGAACTGTGAGGAGCAGTCACGTTGCAGTCTCTCCTTCGCAATAGGCCTTTATGACAATCTCATTGGCGTGAAATTTGAGCCCCCTTTTTGAAGCACGGGAGACGTGGTGGGGACCAAGCCGTGTGTGACACGCAGGCGGACTACTTAGCTCTGCCAGCTACTGTGTTCGCAAACGCCGTTCATCTTAACGCTGTCTCATCAACGTGGGTTCATTGTGTGGTTAAAGGAAGGCAGAGTGCGATGAATGTTAACTCTGCCTAATGCACGTGCAAGTCATCGTTCTTCACCCATAAATCCATAGAGCACTGGGTGGACATAAGGGTTCGCGATGAATGGGACTGTCGTCCAAGGCGGACGAACTAAACATGCAACTAAAGGACCCTTCGTCGAAACTCTAGGCATTAGTGGGTTATCATCTGAGCATGGACATGTGTATGAGAGCGGAAGTTCTCGAAAGAATGCAGTTGCTACCTCGATGATGAAAGAATCTTCTTGAATTCTGATCTATTTTACTGAGAGGGTCTGTCTGTGAGGGAATGAAAACACCAGGGTTGGCAGGGACGGCAAACGAGCGAAAGCGCGCGCACACGACAATTTATAGCAGCTGCTCTAATGCCTTCCTTCTCTGGCGCCTCGATGCCCGCGGCAGGCCGATTAACTGACAGTAACCACCTTAAAGCACGCCGGCCCTCACAGGCTCCAGCTGAGCTGCGTCATGGTCGCGCGTGCAGACCTGGCTAGTCGCGTTTGGCAGCCTATTTGGCGTCTAAGTGACCTTGTCGTCGGACCCCCAAACCACGGCCTTTGACGCAACCAATCACGCGCCCCACAGCCACTCTTACACGATCCGACCTAAGCGCGTAAACAACATACCTCAGCTAGCACACTCCTGAACGGTTGAATTGTCCAGACACCGCTGTTTACACGCTCCCAGACGGACGTATTTGCCACACGCAAACAGCCCATTTACGGCAAATTGTCTTGCGTACCAATAAATCGTTCCTCACATCTGACTGCATTCTTCCACCAGACGAAATATCTTTAGTGTTGTGGTTATAGTAGATCGCCCATCCCTGACCGCTATAAGTTCGACCAGCGGTTTCCACGATGTCCACCGTGTACTCCAGAGCAGGGTCGGTGACCTCCGTCAGATTACCGTGAGAATAAACTGGCGCTGCAAATACCTCAATCTCTCTCTCCACCTGGGCGCAGTGTCAGGATAAAGTCAAGGAGGCAGGAGAGGGCAACGCCCGAAACACTCACCCGCTTGACTTCCACGAAGGTCTTGCGTGGGTTAAACCACTCCATCAGTATGATAGTTTTCTCCACAACGGCGCAGAGATACTTGTTGCCATTGTTAAGGTTGCGAATGACACTGGCTATGTGACAACCTCGGGTGTTGGGAACTTTGACGGTCGGTTGAAAGCGCCTAGAAGGAGAGACAAAAAAACATCAACAGGCGCAAAACATCAGCTATCGGAAACCTGTTCTTTAAAATTACAGTAGTTAGGTAGAGTGAAAGCCGTCAAGCTAAGCTTTCATCTTTAAATCGCCACGCCACGCCATGTCAAAGAGACGCCGGCTTGCTGCAAACTCACGCACAAACCCAATATATGCCACGTTTTTGTATTTCCCGCAGTACCATTTTCAACCTAAATCACAGTTAAGGTCTGTATGCGCTCAAGTATTCAGATAATGGAATAGATCGATCCACAACCGAACAGAGGTCCACGAGACGCTCTCACGAAAGCGATAAAGCGGGTGATGCAATACTCGGTGTCGATTGCATTTCTGGCAGAGGATCATAGGTACGACTTTCCGTGCTTATGCCGGGAAGAAAAAAGCACCTTCCTAAATGACAGTGGAGTCAAGTACATGGTTGTCTTCGACGGTAGGTGCCTGGTAGGCCATTGGAGATAAAGACTTGGGCAATCTCAGCAGCCAGCCAGGCTGATCTTCGAGTACTTCAAAAATAGCATACTAAGAGAAATTATCGAGTAGCAGTGGAAGAAAAATGGTGAAATTCACTTTCCCAGACAGCCGTAGCTCAAAACAAAGGCTCGTAAAGGGCTTCAAAGCGACTGGGTGATAAATGAGCTGGGATTGATCGTTGTCCAAGACGCCAAAATAAGGTTCTGATAGAGTCAAAATGAGGACTGTTGGGGCGATCGTTTTGGAAATGACAAGGTAGACGAATGACGACAATGGAAGCATCGCGGAACCCAACTAGCAACTTGGAACGATTTGAACACGGGGATTCAGCCTCCAGGACGTGTCAGGTAGCAGTGCAGGCGATTTGTAATCAAGAGCCAATCAAATAGTGATGTTTCCGGCCCACTCTAGTAAGACATTCGGCCAACGGTTGACGCTGCCTTTCTGTCACCGACTAAGCAACTGCCTAGTAGCGGCAGAATATTCACAGATCAAACAGGGTACTGCTCTGCCACACACTTAAGTGTCGAGTCTTGGTGCGATGTTGGCGGCAGAACGGTCTCACGAGTAGAAATATATTTATTAAAGAGGTTCGGCAGATTTGCTTAATTTAAGTTGATCCAACTGTGGAGAAACTCGCGGCGGAATTTGAACCTCCATAGTAGGGAAGGCCTTAACGCGAAGCCAATGCTCTACCAC